ATTTTTGTACACAATATAACGATGGAGCCTTCAAGATAACTAGAATCCTCAAGAAACATTGGCGGATCCTCGAGGAGGATCCACTCTTTAGGGAATCCCTTCCCAAATTCCCTAGTGTGACCTTCAAGAGACCGAAAGATCTACGGAGCATGATAGCACCCAGCAAATTGAAATCCACTAAAAACATGAATTTGGGTAAAGGGCTATTTGGACAGACAGGCTGTTACAAATGCAATATTCATAATTGTGGTGCCTATCCTTATTTCTGGCATAGAAAGAAAGAAGTTCCTAACCCTAGTGGTAAAAGCTACCCAATTCGACAATTCATCAATTGTGCTACTCAGTATGTCATATATGGAATTATCTGCCCCTGCGGAAAATTATACGTGGGGTGGACTATCAGGACATTGAGGACGAGGTTTGGAGAGCATAAGAGGAATATCCTAAAAAAGGTGACAGAACATTCTCTCCCCAGACACTTCATAGAGTCACACAAGTCCAATCCTGAGGGACTGAGAGTCTTCGGGATTGAGGCAATTCCTGACAATCCAGATGAGGGTCTAAGATTTAAGCATCTGTGCCACAGGGAGGCTTTTTGGATATATTCCCTCAATAGCCTATACCCTGTAGGTTTCAATGAGGGCTTAGAGCTGGCTTCATCGCTATAAGCATCGCATCCATGATTAAATCTTGGAGAGCTGACATTCACAACTGTGGTGGCTTATCACATGCCTAGTCCAGCCTAGACCAGGCAATTGCTCATGGTCATCTAGATTGTCCATTGTACCAGCTAACATCGATTCCTATACAATTCATTTATAAACAATAATAACCTTTCAACCTCCTTGTTGTTCTTGATCAACACATCATTTGACAATGACTCAGGGCTAGCCATCATTCTAGTATTATTTTATTATTCTTTATTTTGTAAACAACTATTACTTATTTATAACAAGGTTCTAACTAATGCATCTATTTAGCACCACTAATGTTTCTATAAATTTTCTCTGGTCTTAACCTCTCTTTATTTCTCTTCATTTTTAATAATATTTCTCATAATCAAGTGTTAAAAAATTTGTCTGTACCAGGAAAGGCCCCTTGTTTGTGTTTTTTCCCTAGATTTTGCGGTCTCCCTGGCTGGTTTGGGGGCAGCATCCTGCAGACCTTTCTATACACATGCTTTTTATTATTAATATTTTTTAATAGACTTGTTTTCTGACTACACTCGTGCTTATATTGGTCCATACTGGCTGAGTAGTCCTTTTTGGCGCTTTTTTGTGTTCATATCGGTATAGTCTTTTTTGCTTACCTGCTTCATTGTGTATACATCATACAGTATAAGTATGTCTGTAAACATTATCTTCATGCAAGTACTAAGAAGGGTAAACGTTTGAGAGGAACCAAACTATGGAAGCTGTACCCATACAAGGGCAGGCAAAGGTCTAGTCACCAGTATTGATTGTGGTCTCCCTGCAGCTGATCTTTTTCCCATTACTGATTTATCATACCTTGGTCCTCACTGTGTCTCTGTGTGGAGGGAGTGATCATGGAAGAGTCAATGCTTTGCTTCCTCATGTCAGAGCATCCAGTAGAAAGACAATGAGCAGAAGGAAGGAGAACAATGAGCAGCAAAGTAGTGACATCACCAATTCTCATTCCAAATCTCCTGAAATGAGCAGTCAAAGGCAGCTGTGACTTAAGCTGGCCAAACATGGCTTGAATTTCAGCCAATTCTTACTGAAACTACTGAAATTCAAACCGTAGGTGGCCTTGTAAGCAGGCCCGGCGCTACCGCAAGGCAAGGCAAGCGGCTGCCTGAGGGCGCTGAAGGGTAAGGGTGGAAAAAACAGGGCAAAAATGCACCTTCGCCTGTGTAGGCAAAAATCCTAGCACCAGCCCTGCTTGTAAGCACCACCTGACTCAACAAACTCTGACTGCAGAAATTGTCAGTCGAACAGTGACTGCATCCAACCAGCTGCAGTCACTCTTTGGGTATTTGCCTGTATTGAGTGTTGATAAAAAAGAAGCTGTTAAAATATTAAAGGAGAACTATGGGGTCAGTGTTTTTCCCCATAGTTCTCCTTAGGGTAACGGGAAGACACAAACTAGCGTCCTCCCGTTACCCTAAGCTCAGTATACCGCGAGCAACATATACGCGGTATACTGAGACGCCGGAGCGGATCCCGACTTAGATGACGGGATCCGCCCAGCTGCGTGAGTGACAGCTGGCTCTGCCTATCTAGAGGCAGAGCCAGCTGTACCCGCCCCCTCCCCTGTCCGTTCTGCCAATCAGCGCTGTCAGATCGGAGCGGGGAATCCAGCCCCTCCCCCTGTCACGGCAGAGAGCCGTGACAGGATCGAGAGGCGAGCGAACCCGGTATGTGTTCGCTCACCTCCCGATCTACTGAGCCGACCTGTGACAGTCTCATTGTCACAGGTCGGCTAGAACTATGAGGTGAGTGAAAAGCACTCACCTCATAGTTCTCCTTTAAGCTGGTGTTTAATGCTCATATTTGCATTTGTACAGCGAAGAAGAAAAATAAAAAGGAACTTTTAAAGCAGTCACACAAAAATCACAAAAAGTATGGCTGAGAAAATAAATAGAAGTAAGTGAAAGACTTTAAAGCTATAAAAAAAACCAGTACTAGGCAGGTTTTGCTACATTTGTACAAGTAGTAAAATACCCTTTGTTACATTTGTACATTAAAGCTTATGTACAGCCAAAACATTTTGTAAAAAATTAGAATAAGTAATGTTTAGAATTCCTGACAGTTTTTTTTTCTTTTTCTTGCTTTCTCTGTTCCATTGAGGAGCCTTCCCTTCATTTCCTGTACTGGATATGCAACAGGAAGTGAAAGAAAATCTCAACAAAATGAAATCACTGTTTAAAGATTTGCTCTCACCTCTTGCTCTAGTGACAACTCTAGAATTTTGGATTACCCATGGACAATGATCCCCAGGGCAAATAGAGAGAGTGGATCTACCTAATTTACCTAGCCAGGGCCAGATTGAGAGCATCACAGGCCTGGTGCTGAGGATTTTGGTGGGCCTTTTTATTCAAATTTTATTCAGTCACCGGGGCCTTCTTCCTCCTGTGCGGGCTGTGATTAGTACTCTACAAAACACAAAAATTCCCCAGCCTCAACCTGCCAGCCAGCCTGCAACCAAACAAGTAGCCCTGTCAACAGTATGCGTTAAAATCAGAGGTTTTAGTTGCACAAACTTTTGGCCAAAAATATGTAGAAGCCACACTGCCGCGCCAAGGCACCTCTGCAAAGTGTGGTCCTAACTCTATGTATCCGAGTCTCCAAGTGTGAGCATATTAATGAAGTTGATAAATTACATGCAGGTGTACCTGGAGGTAGCCAACTCCTCCTAATAAGGTGCAGGGACGCACTGGAGGCCCAGCAACCAAAAATGCACGCTGGGACTCCAGTGCGTCCCCCTAACCCAAAATAGTCAAACTAGAAAAAAATGGTACATGCATGAATCTATAACCGGCCTTTATAGCAGGGCGCACATTGGGAAGGCTTACAACAATACAAAACACAAAAATTCCCCAGCCTCAACCTGCCAGCCAGCCTGCAACCAAACAAGTAGCCCTGTCAACAGTATGCGTTAAAATCAATCAAACCTCGCATTTTCTTGTGATTAGTACTCTCCCTACAGCTTGGAGTCAGTGGTGGAGCGCCAGGGCCCGATTGCAGCTGCGACCCTGGTAGATCTGCCACTGACTCCAAGCTGTAGAGAGACTAGAAATCTCAGCAATGCATTATACAGCAATGCACAATACCACCAACTATAGAGGACTACAAATCCCAGTAATACATTATACAGCAATGCAGAATACCACCAGCTATAGAGGACTACAAATTCCAGTAATACATTACACAGAAATTCAGAATAACACCAGCTATAAAAGACTACAAATCCCAGCAATAAATTATACAGCAAGGCAGAATTCCACTAACTATACAGTAGAAGACTACAAAACCCAATAATGCATTACAGAGCAATGCAGAATACCACCAGCTATAGAGGACTACAAATCCCAACAATACATTGTAAAGCACTGCAGAATAATACCATCAGCTATTAAGGACTAAAAATCCCAGCACTACTTTATACATCAATGCAGAATACTATGAAGCTACATACGCTGTGTTGCTCGGGTTCTGAGCCTGACGCCTCCAGGGTCTCAGGAGAGCTATGCGGGTTTTAGGGGGGTTGTGCAGGCTCTCAGGAGGCTGCTTAGGTTCTTAGGTGGCCAGTGCAGGCTCTCAGGGAGTCAGTGCGGGCTCCGGGGGTCAGTGCAGGATCCAGGGGATCAGTTAAGTGAGGGCTCCG